CTTCTACGCCTACATCAAGCTCAAGGAGCAGGAGATCAGGTACCTAGACCTGACCCCCCCCCCTAACTCCAACCGCGCACACCGATGTTGGCGTGCCGGCCTCGCCTCACCTCCTCTCGCCCGGCAGGAACCTGGTGTGGATCGCCGAGTGCATTTCGCAGCAGCTCAAGTCCAAGATCAACAACTACATCCCCATCTTCAAGGACTAAGCCCGCCCCTTGAGCTCTCCGAACAACCCCTACCCCCCCGTCTATTTAACCCACCACCTGTCGCCCTCTCCCTCTGCCATGTCCCATTTTCCTCTCCTTGGTGCACGCCCAAGGACCCCTTCAACGTGCTTCATGATTACAAGCTTGTACTTATCACCCAAGGACCACACGCACCTCTGGCTTTTGATTGCTGCAGAGATTGTGTTGGCGCTTGTTGTTGGCGCAAGGCACGCTGGATTTTTGCCTCATCATGAACTGCGGGGATGTAGCTGGCCGTGAAAGTAAGCTCTTGAACCCACCCCCGCGGGGTGTTGTGCAGAAGAACATGCCGCCGCCCAGTGTCGCTCTCCCACACGCACGCCCCGGTGGCGTAGAGCTACTTTTCTTTCACGGAGGGCACCTCCACGCCAATCTTGAGCAGCACACCCCACGGCCGCGAGTCACGCCGTGTCCTCCTCGTCGTCGTCGGTGTTGTCCTCTTCCTCCTCGATGTTGCCCGCGCTGTCCATCCCGGTGATGTCCACCCCGTTGCTCGCTGCTCCACCAAACACGCCGCACACGCACACACCCGCAGCGGTTAGCGCCCAGCGCCACGGAGACGGAGGTAAAGAGGGGGGGGGGGGCATCACGTACCGGTGGAGGGAGAGAAGGCGATGGGCGAGCAGCTGCGCACGTAGGAAAAGCCAGCGAACAGCTCCCTCTGTGTGGTGGGTCCACCAGACCCAAGCGTGAGTGCGTGTGCTCTAAGCTGCTTCCTGGGCTTCCCTTTCAGGCGCGAGTGCGGTGGTGCACCACGAGTGGGTTCGTACCTGGGAGGCGGTGATGTCGTCGATGG